TCTCTGACCTGTTACAATAGATATATCCACAAAACACACCGATTCTAAGTATGACTTTACTAAAAGTAGACCTTTGTTCATTTTTTATATCAATTTTTTTTTTATATTGTAAAATAAGCTGTTATTTCAAAGCAATTTTGTTACACGGGCGGAAGGACGATAGCCAGTTGAACAAAATTGTAATTTTGTTCAATAAATTACAATTATTATTATTGCACTCAAGAAGTTGACAACTGAGTTCTGCCTCCAAGAATACTCTTAGAATTCTACATTCCCTCTAGAGAAGAGTGGAGTACCAAAAAAATAAGCCATCTTGATCAACATCAAAGGAAGTTTGATCTCTGTTTTTTTATAAGGATAATTTCAAATTGAACTCAAACAAAACTTAAATATTATTATTGACACTCGACATGCCATAGTGGTAAGAGAGTTAACTCATTGCGGAAAACTGAATAGGCACTCACACTTTGAAACCTTACGCAATAGATTGACAAGTATAGGGTCTTCCAATAGGGACTTCCGAACTTTGACAATTGATAACGGCCATCTTGTTGAAGGTAGATCTGTCAAAAGCCGAGAGGACTATTTGCAATGTGGTGGATAAATTTAAATCCACTGATTCAGTAAACGATCAACCAACACCCGTACGTCGACGAAACGCAAGATCTGCCGTAAATATCGCCGCTGTCTGTGAGAGTGTGCAGAAGTATCCAAGGCAGTCGATTTCACGTCGCTCACAAGAATTCGGCCTTTAGCAAACTAGAACTTGAAGAATTTTGCGTCCTGACCTGGGCCTGCACCCGTACAAAATTATACTGACCCAGAAACTGAAGGTAAACGACCATAGACAACATGTGTTCGCTGAATGGGCTCTGGAGCAGTTGGCAACTGATCCTAATTTTCATCGAAAAATCATCTTCAGCAATGAGGCCCATTTCTGGATGAATGTGTACGTGAACAAACAAAATTGTCGAATTTGGGATGATACCAATCCCTAGATCCAAGATCGGCCAATATATTCCGAAAAAGTCACTATTTGGTGTGGATTTTGGGCTGACAGCGTCTTCAGTCCATATTTCTGCGCTACGACATGTGTGGCGTTACATGCCACACATTTTGTGCCACTACGTGCCACACTTTTCGTGCCACATTGGATATTCTGCACAAGCGATTCGAGGGAATGGTCATCTCACGTAGAGGAAATGTGAATTGACCACCGAGATCGTGTGATTTGATCTCTTTAGACTTTTTCTAGAGGGGTTTTCTAGGTTGCAGGTGCATGCGAATAAGCCACAAACCACAGTGGTTCTCAAAGCCAACATTATCCATGCCATCGGTCAAATTCAGCCTGATTTATGCCTCAGAGAAGGCGTGGCGGACATTTGAACGACGTTATATTCCACACATAGTGAATCAATGGGTCTTTTAAACGAATGAAAAATGTCTGGGCTAGTAGGCCGTGGTTGAATGGAACCTAAAGTACGAAACGTTTCGTCTGTTATTGCGGCAGACATCATCATTGTTGACTGTGAAGACGAAGGTTATATCTCGAAGTCTCAGCCACGACTAAAACTTCGAGATATAAACACGTGATTAGTCACCATTGATTATTCAAATGTTTTTTGATTTTGTGTAATTACTAATATTTTAAATCTGCATATTATGCTTATCGTTGAATGTCTTCATATGTGGACATATTTTTTATCTTTCTTGACATGTGCTGTTTATTAAATATCATTTTGAACACGGCTAACCTAAGCAACACTTTTCCATGATGATGATAATAAAATTTGTCGAAATTTTGGAGTACCTGTCATAAATGTACAATTGTGTTCCGCCGCTTTCCTATATAACTTCCTAGTTTTGTTCTTAAGGACATCCAGTCATTAAATTGCATCTGAAATGTGTCAATTCATGGGATTATAATGACTTTCACTGATTACCTAATTAATGATAAACCACAAGATCATTGAAAATGGAGATGCAATTAATACTACATAGGTTCTTCTACCAACCTTACCTAACTAATCTGAAAATGTCAAACAATTATCTACTTTTTTCATTTAAATTGACCATAAGTCTGGCATAATCTCGGTAAATTATAAAGAGCTAAAAAAATCCCCTTGTAATAATTCAAATATATTCTTATTATATATTATGGAATTGGTCGTGAACACGTGTTGCAGATTTGTAAACTGTTCAGGGAGCGGCGGCTGGGTGATATTGATAAAACCAAACTTATTTATTATTTTATTCTAATTTATAACCATCACTTTTTGGAATTGTTTAGAACATTTGATTATTTATGTTTGAAATATCTAAAAACACCTTATTCGAAATTTATTACAGATTTCATTAGGAATAGAGATTTGGATCTGTTTCGAAAATGGAAAAACGGGCTGGACCATGATGACAAGAAAAAGTTAACTCACGAAGGAGAAGAAGAGATGCTTTTGTTGGCTGAAAGAATGCAAAATAGGTTCCCACAGCTGTTTGATAATGTGTACAGTAATACTTCCTACAAGGTAATATCTGAACTAATAAATTAATTATTTACTTAAGTAGTATTGGGATTATTTGGAATAGGTGATGATAATAGTGAATGCATCTATTTTTTCCACCCATTTGTTAAGTAAAAATAAAGTATTATATTTTTATCAATGGATACTTTGCAGTTTCATAAGTTATGTAACTGCTGACAAGCAAGGATCAGGGATTGTTGCTTGACATTCGCAGACGCATTTGCTATCTATCAAAGTCACACAAAATTTTTTTGGAAATTTATTTCAGAAGGTAAAATATGAAAAATCGACTCTACAAACACATACATTTTATAATATGCCTTATCAATTATTACTGTTTTATCTGCTTTTCTTATACCAACTGTGTGGCGATAAAAAACAATTTTAATTCCATTTAATATGATTGAGTACCGTTCTAAGGAGATTACCAGAAAGGATGATATTGTTGTCGAACCAGATGAATAGACTAAATATTTAATATCAAACTGTGCAGACTTGTATGACACATTCCTAGTTTGATCATCAAAAGTTGTACTTGACTGCAGTAGTATTCAACTGAAATGCAACAAAATTTGTTTGCAAAAAAAATATTCAGCTTTAATATCATTTTATAGATATAATTTGTTCACAAAAGATTTATATTAGGTTGTTTCAAAAGTTTCGTCCGTTTTTATGAGTCTACTTTCAACTGTAATATCTCGATGAATACGTTTTTGTCTGGTCCTGATTGGTGAAGGTTCTACTTGTGAGAAAATTATCGAAGTGTTTGAAAAGATTGTAGTCAGTTGGCGAGAGGCCTGGAGGGTATGGTGGGTGAGGCAGAATTTCGAAGCTCAATTCGTTTATGGGCGGACGGGCGTTGTCGTGTAGACGGCCGTTGCTGACGCAATTTTCGATACACCTCTTTAATTTTCTCACAATAGAACCACGTTTTTGTGGTGGGTTTTCGACTTTGGGAAGTGATTGGGTGTCCAACCCCTGAACGTCTCTTGTTGCCGTAAAGGATCCATTTTTCATCACACGTGACGATTCGATCCAAAAAAGGATATTTTTGGTTGCGCAAAAGTAAAGAAGACCAGACCTCGAAAAGTGACAATTTATGCTGATCGGTCAAATCGTAGGGCACCCACTTTTCTAGCTTTTTGACCTTTTCAATACGTTTTCAACTATCAAAAATCGCATAAGAGCTGATGCTCAATTCTTCCACCATATCACGCACCGTTTGTGATGGATCAGTCTTCACCAGATTCCTTACATCCTTGTGGATCATTCGGGGCTCATCTTTGAGGCTAAAATCTCTAGAATTAAATTTCACAGGCCTACGACGAACAGTGGCAGCACTTCGGTTCAATTTGAATTCGTAGAGAAAAATTGTCCGATAATCGCTTAACATGTTATGCAAGGTATGGCATCACATAGATGCCTCACTGGCTGTTGAACTTTGGACGGCGTGGCATTAATGAAATTCTCACATCAAAATAATAAGAAGACGGTGTGGGTCTGTTGATAGTTTGGTTACAATGATAAATGCATTGGGATAGATTACCAGCCGTCTATATTGACTGTTCGTTTTGCCCGGACGTGAATTTTGGAGCACGATTCTTGATTTTTTATTGAGTCTTCGCAGGTGATTGAAAAACTACATGATATTATATAAAATAAACCTTTATTCATACAATTGAAATAATACCGATAACAACAACTAGTAAAAAAATATTCTATTATTATTCCTCATTTTTGTGGAATTATGTTTGGATACGAAACATAAAATGCAATATATTTTTTCGCAGGTGGGGCAATACCACTTGGTCCTGGTTGATTTGTTCTGCGCTACTTTTCGCCTAAACTGTTCTTTGTTGTTTGATTATCATACTGCACATCGGTTTTTATTGTGCTCTAAAGTATTGTCCAAGGCAGAAATAGCATTTTCTTCGTTTTCATCTTCAACGGTATAGTGTTTAATAACATTTCATATGATATCATCAATCTGAATAAAAATGTCACAATAACAATGTCACATTTTTTATTAAAAAAATTGGTGAATACTCACCGAATGGTTTCTGCTCTGCCTATCCAAATTTCTTATCTGCCTCGCGATTAGGATCATTCATGTCGTTTGTGGTAATATTTTCATGAAGTTTTTAGTGTTTATTTGGCAAATTTGCATCACACCTACATTTTTCATCACCTAAGCTTGGTTGTTCTGCATAGATTATTGTTTTTTGTTGTGACGTATTTGAATTTTCTATATCACTCATGAAGAGTATAAAAAGAATTGGAGCCAGGGTTGAACCCTGGAAAACTCCCATTGTAACAGAAGCAGGATGTGACTTCATCGAATCAATCATTACTACTTGTGTTCTATTTTTTATATATGAGGCAACCCAGTCATTGGCAACTCCCCTGATCCCAATTCTGAGCAGTTTTTCCAGGAGTAAGATACGGTTCACCGTATCGAATGCTCTAGTTAAATAAAAAATAAGCCAACTGGAATTTGTTTGTTATTGAGACTTGTATATATGCTATTGCAAAGTCCATTTATTGCTGTTGAAGTTGATCTTTGCTGCCTAAAGCCATGTTGGCAATTAGGAATAAGTTTGTGGTACTCGATGAAATTCACCAATATCTCAGATAATAACTATAATCGATGACTTTTGCAACTTGTGATTGTAAGCAAACATTACGGTAGTTAGTCACTTGAGTTTTAGTGCCTTCATTTTTATATATATGTATAGGGACCGGATATATTCCTTCTATGAATGATTTATCTATTATATGCGATATAGGATAGCAAATTATATCACTTACAGTTCTCAAAGCTTTACCATGAATTTCATCTATTCCAGGCATTGGTGTTTTTGTCGTTTTCATAATTATATCTTGCACTTCAATATAGGTTGTAGGATACAGAAATAATGAAATATTGGAAAGGGGGGATAACTTAAGTTCATCAATATTGGGGTTAACTTTTTCAATTCCCAGGAAAAATTCATTGAAGTGATTAACAATTCTAGACTTATCTGTAATAAGTTCGTTATTGATAGATCAATTTTATTATTTATTATTGCGTTTGTTGAGAGTATCATAATCATATTTACGAATTCCATAACAAAGACTCAAACATGAAATTTGAATAGATACGTTGTAAGAAATGTGCGTCGTATTGCACTAAAACAGGTCCGTAGATGCTAACACAATAAGAAATTTTGGAAAAAATCAGAGACTTGCAAAGTTTCATTTTTAGTTTAGTAAGTAGTATATTACGATTCGGATATAACTGCCTCAGTGTGTTATATGAGGTTTGGCGCAGAAATCACTTCCATCGTCATCGTCAGACATAAGTTCTGTCCACAATTCTTCAAGATTTTCGTGTTCACTTTCGTATTCGTCTATTTTCAATTATTTTTTAAATTTCTTTTTCGCAGTGTAAGACCCAGTAGAATAATTTCACAAGGAATAATTTTCACGTGGAGGGTTAGATTGGGTCACTATAAACACTTTCTACTATATTTCGTCCGAGCAGTTTTTTGCAAAAGTTATCAAAAAAATTGTTTTAGAAAATTCCTTTTTCGCAGTGTAAGACCCAGTAGAATAATTTCACAAGGAATAATTTTCACCTGGAAGGTTAGATTGGGTCACTATAAACATTTTCTAATATATTTCGTTCGAGCAGTTGTTTGCAAAAGTTATCAAAAAAGTTATTCCACAATTTCATGCATAATGCATATTTCAATTACTGTACAAGTCGATTTACTGCAACAAATATCAATTATGAGTTTTTATATATTTCTATACGACAATATTCATTTCGCTGATAATACGGATACACGCCACTGGTCGTTCGGTAGAGTTCGGAAAATTTAGCAGCTGGGTCTGGCAGCCAACTTCACATAGGTATAAAACTTCAACAGCCGTTTTCCTTTTAAAGCCATTACCTTTAATTCAGATGCACTTAGATTCGAACATTTTGCATGCATTTTGCGTTCACAACCACCACAACTCAAGGGCAAGTCATTTCCGGTAATTCTACATTTTAAACAATCCATGGTGTAGTATGTTTCTAGAGATATTTAGGTAAGTCCTGACCTGTCACTGGTAGGGTGCTTTATTTCCATTTTATGGGCTGTTCAGGCACTTGAGATTCCGATATCACTTTCAGGTATTTTGCCTAATTGTAAACAAATGTGAAAGGGATTGTTTAGGATGGCTTAGTTCTAGTTTAACTATATAAATTTTAAATATTCAATTTTCATTAAACTCAAAACTTGAATTTGATGTTTCTCTTCATAAAGTTTTTCACGGTATTATCACTGTTGTTTTGATATTGAATTTGAAATTTTCGAAGGTAAAGAAACCACAAAATTTTCACTTTATATCATAGCTCTGGCGACACACGTGTGCATTTCTACCCACAATTTAAAATAATCATATCATATACATGCATTTTGAGGAATCGTCTGTAGATGATAGTTGTCGAAAAATCAATATAGACTTGAAAAGTCTGACTGAACTTTCGGGAAAATATTGTCTTTTTGTCATGCTTTGGAATGTCAGCAACTATGAAAAAGTGCTTGAAAAATATAAGCATCAATCGATAACGTGTCGTTACCAATAAAAGGCGAAGATGACAATATAAAAAACCTTGGTTTGCTGATAAATCCGTCGCTAAGATTTTCATCGCATATGTCTCACTGATTTTGAAACGAGGGTATTGTAACCTCAAAACAATCAACCTGACCCTGAACTACTGAATCGCCAGTCTCTACATTTCTACACAATCTTTACATTTAAAAATTATCACAAGTATCTGGCCAGTAATACTGAAAGGTGGCACACAATAAATCTGCACACAGCAGAACTGAAACAGTTTACAACATTCATTTCTATAAGGCACCCAACTTGATGAAATTCGCGTGACTTTCAGACACAAACTAGATGAAAAAGCCCTCTCAAAACAGCTTTCATATAAACATTGAATTACTCTAAAGAAAATACTTTTCAAACAACTACTTTCATATAAACACTGA